ATTTTATATATTTATTATGTATTATTACAGACTTGTTCTTTTCATTACATATTATGTCCATAAAGTTATATATTTATCTATATAATTTATAATATACATATACAATTTATATATATAAAATCTATATATACTATATATAAAATAAAAATATTATATTAAAATATATATTATGAATTACGTACAGGAAATCTATTTAAATATATAAATTATAGACAGTTTATAATTTACGTATAATTTAGAGAGAAAATCTATACATTTATATAATTGCATAATATATATGATATATGTTATACAGAAATACATATAACTTTTATAGATTTTATTTTATATATATTTTTATGTATTACTTATTATATTCATTATGTATTCCTTATATAGTTATATATTTATTCTATATAATTTATAATATATATAATTTATGTATATAAAATCTATATATACTGTATATAAATATATATAAATATATATTTTGAATTATATATAGAAAATCTAGATAAATATTAATATATATAATATATATAAATTATAGAGTTTATAATATACATGTATAATTCATATATATAGAAAATCACTATATTTCTATAACTAGTTAATATATATGAGATATATTTCATCCTCATCATCCTGGCTGGGCTTCGTGAGCGAAGATTTGAGAAGGGCTCTACCCACGCTTGATACAAGCACTCTGATGTGAGACAGACAAGTCCTGCTGAGATATGAGATATATATTATACCGGAATACATATCACTTTTATAGATTTTATTCTGTATTTATATATTATATATTTTTACATACTTATTGTATTCATTATATATTAAAGTTATATATGTATTTTATATAATTTATAATATATGTATATAATTTATTTATAAAAATATATATGTTATATATGATATATTAAAATATAAATATATAATATGAATTACATATATAAAATCTATTTAAAGATATTAACCATAAATATATATATATTATAGTTTATAATATACATGTATAATTTATATAGAGAAAAATCTATATATTTATATAACTAGATAATATATACCAGAAATACATATCATACAGAAATACATAGAGCTTTTATATATTTTATTTTATATATCTATAATGTATTTTTATTTATTCTATTCATTATATATTATTTATATAAAGTTATATCTTAAATATAAATAATTTATAATATACATATATAATTTATATAGAAATATAATATATAAACATATATTATAAATATCATCTGTAAAATCCATTAAAATATATTATACATCAACATATTTATATTATAGACAGTTTATAATGTATAATTTATATATATAGAAAGTCTATATATTTATATAACTAGATAATATATATGAGATATATAAAAATATATATAATTTTATATTTTATTTTATATATTTATTGTGTATTATTATATACTTATATTCAATATATTTTATTTTTATAATGTAATTATTTATTATATATATAAAATTCATATATAAAAATATATATTAGTGTATAATATATGCAAATATCTATTATGAATTACGTATATAAAAGCTGTTTAAATATATTATAGATAAATATATATTCTAGACATAATTTAAGTATATAAATATATATAAGTATGCAGATAATTTTTACATATTTGTGTGTGTATATATATATTTAAAAATCTCTTCTGGGAATCCATGCTCACAGGCAATTTGGTCCATAAAATTGAGGGTTTGTCCATGTGCGTTTACACATATATAAATTTATCATTTCATTTTTCATTATTTATTTTATATATATGTATCTATCTGTGTGGCAATTTACATCTGTGTCTGTCTGTCTGTGTGTTTGTGTGAGAGTGTGAGTATGTGTGTGTGTGTGTGTGTACATATATGTGCACATGTTCATATGTGTGTGTACATATATGTATATGTACATATATATGTAAATATATATATACATTTATATAAATATATAAATGTATGTACATATATATATTGTGTGCATATATATACATGTGTATACGTGTGCAAATATATATGTACATATGTGTATTTATACATATATGTATGTAAATATGTGTATAAATGTGTATATACATGCATATATGTGTATATGTACGTGTTACACGTGTATATCCCTGTGTATATACATATATAACTGTGTATATATACATGCACCTGTGTATACGTGTGTTTATACGTGTATACATGTACATGTTTACATACGTGTGCACACGTGTGTGTCTGTACACTTGTGTGTAGATACAGACGTGTTTGTGTGTTATGTACACCTGTGTGCACATACATATATGTTTGTCTGTGCTATGTACACCCATGTGCACATACATACATGTTTATGTGCGTTATGTACACCTCTGTGCACATACACGTGTTTTTGTGTCTGTACACCTGTGTGTACACACATACGTGTCTGTGTGTGCCTGTACACCTGTGTGCACATCCATACGTGTTTGAGCGTGTACATCTGTGTGTAAATACAGATGTGTTTGTGTGTCTGTACACCTGTGTGTACATACATACACGTTGTGTGTTCTGTACACCCATGTGTACCTCCATACATGTTTGTGTGTGTTATGTGCATACGTACATATGTGTTTGTGTGTGTTATACACACCTGTGTGTTCATACACACGTGTTATTGTGTGTCTGTACACCTGTGTGCACATATAGACGTGTTTATGAGTGTTATGTACACCCGTGTGCACATCCATACGTGTTTGTGTGTGTTATGTACACCCGTGTGCACATCCATACGTGTTTGTGTGTGTTATGTACACCCGTGTGCACATCCATACGTGTTTGTGTGTCTGTACACCTGTGTGCACATACAGACGTGTTTATGAGTGTTATGTACACCCGTGTGCACATCCATACGTGTTTGTGCGTGTCTGTACACCCATGTGCACATCCATACGTGTTTGTGTGTGTCTGTACACCCGTGTGCACATCCATACGTGTTTGTGTGTGTTATGTACACCCATGTGCACATCCATACGTGTTTGTGTGTGTATGTACACCCATGTGCACATCCATACGTGTTTGTGTGTGTTATGTACACCCGTGTGCACATCCATACGTGTTTGTGTGTGTCTGTACACCCATGTGCACATCCATATGTGTTTGTGTGTGTTATGTACACCCATGTGCACATCCATCCGTGTCTGTGAGTGTCTGTGCCTGTAACACAGCGTCTGCCTGCACAGACAGGCCAACACACACGTGCACGTGTGCGTGACCCTCTCTGTGAGCGCCTCCACACACACAGGTACCCGGATCTATCTGCACCCCCCCTGCTCTCAGCCCCTGCCCAGCGTGGGCCGCGCTCAGCTGAGCTGGGGTTATTTTTAAAGGCCAATCCGCTCTCCCAGAGCGGCTCCCAGATCCATAAATAACATAAAATAAATCCTCCCCCTCCCAGCAGAGGGGACGTCACTCCCTCCCTCCCTTCCTGCGCTGCTTTCCCCAGGAAAAGGAGCACCTGGGGGGTTGCAAGGAGTTGTATCCAGGGCTTAAATAACTGCCACGAAGAGCAAGGGCAATCCTTCAGCTTTTAATGCTTGGAGAAGAAAATTCCAGACTCCGGAGAGGGAAGGTGCTGGGCTGTGACGGACTTTGCTGCAGCCCAGGAAAATGGCATCTTCCACCAGCCCAGGTTACTCCAAGCCCCATCCAACCATCACTTCCAGGCAGGGGGCAGCCACAGTTTCTCTGGATACCCTGTCCTAAACCTGCTCCCAAAGCTTTTCCCTCAGAGTCACAACCCCCAGCACTCCCCCCACCAGACGAGAATGAAGAGCTCCCAGCTGATTCCACATTCAATGTTTATTCCTTTGTAATACAAATAAGAAACGTGTGCCCAAATCTCGCCTCAAAGTTTCTACCCAGATTGTTTGTTTAAAAAAAGACCCTACAGAACATTCTTTCATCGTCTGACAGTTAAAAAGCTGCGTTTAAAAGAACCAGAGTTTTCAGTAGCCTGTCAAAACAAGTGACATTTTACTGCCGGAGCATCTGCAACTTCCACCAAGGAGAAGCAAGTTCTCGAGCCACAGCGTCATTGTACAATCAGTTGCTTATCATAAAAGACTTTTATGACAGGGCAATTTTGTAAAAATCAGTGTTAATAGAGATTTTTTTTTTTCCCTAATGAAAGGAGTAAAAACCCATGGAAAAAATCCTCAAGTCCAATTCAGGGAGGCACAGACTCTCCACGCTCCTTGGAAAAGCCAGTCTCAAGGAAGACTCTCTTTGGCGACACAGACTGCTCCGTTAGGAAGGTACAGCGTTTGGAATCTGAGAGCGCAGCTGGACGTACTCCCAGTCAAAAAAAAAAAAAAAAAAAAAAAAAAAAAAAAAAAAAAGAAAAAAAAAAAAAAAAAAAAAAAAAAAAAAAAAAAAAAAAAAAAAAGGAAAAAGGTGCGTGTTGATCATTGAAAAGACAAACAGAAAACGAGTTAAAAGCATTTTTGAAATGTTGGGACACACACAAAAACACAAATACCCCAACAATTTTCTAGGTATCCATGCATGATCTTTATATAATGAGCAACGCAGCTAGAAAAAAAGAAACGATGATTCCGGGGTGTGCAAGTTTTTAGTTCAGAATTTACTCAATGCTTACTGCAGTAAGTGTAAATGAAGAGCTTGATGCATCAACTACCATTAGAAAAGCATGTCAGAGCTGAATTTAAACCTGTATTTCCTAACAGAGCATCCCCCAGGTCTGTAGCTGTTGATAACTGCCGTTCAAAATTTAATTCAGAATGAAATGAAACTTTAAAACGTTACCAACATCTTCAGCGTGAACTGAAAGGCATAAAGAGATGGTGAGGTATCAGAGCACTGAGCTGCTCTGGGTGTCGAGACTTCACTTTCAACCAACTGCCACAGAATTTACAATTTTTCTTTCCCACCTCGCTCCAAGGAGTTTTTAAAATCTGCAAATGGCGAGGGGAGATGTGGGCTGGGAACAAAAACATTCTACACGAGTTACATGGGGATTCTTTTCGTTTTGTTTATAAAACCAAGAGATAACGAAGCGATTCTTTCGATCAAAAGAAACGACCAAAATCTCAAAACATCAGATTCCACTACAGGAAAATGATGTGGCTTTTTTTTTTTTTTTTTTTTTTTTTTTTTTTTTTTTTTTTTTTTTTTTTTTTTTTTCCACCCCCGCCCTTTTCCAGAGATCTGCACAAGAACTGAGGCTGCAGATTGAATCCAGAGGAACCCGAAAGCAAAGGAATGGAACAAAACAACTTCATGTACACGCGTGTATTCCGCTGTCTGGTGTCGTCCCGGGGTAGCACCACCACGAAAGGTTGGACACGGCCTAGTGGAACTTGACAAACTCCTCCAGAGTTCTGGGGATCTGGTTTTGGTAGCTGATGTTGTAGATCCGCACGGCGCGGGCAGCCAGGCACTTGAGACTCAGCTTCATTTGAGTTTTAAGGAGTATTTCGGACACCCCGGTCGTGCTTTTATCCAGAGGGGTTTTCTTCTGCTTGTTGGTCATGTCCGTGTGGGCACCGGCCTCCACCAGGCTGATGATGATGGAGTGCAACGTCAAGAAGTCGCTGATGGGCCGGTGGTACTGGACGATGATGTGCAGGGGGCTGTTGCCCTCGTTGTCCACGGCGTTGACGTCGGCCCCGCAGTCCAGCAGCAGCTTGGTGACCAGGGCGTTGGGGAAGCTGCACACGTCGTTGGTGTGGAAGTCGTCCACCGGCGTGCCCGAGTTGACGGCGTGGTGCAGCAGGCTGGAGCCGTCCCGCGTGCGGGGGTCCAGCTGGATCAGGTTGTAGATCTGCTTGTTGATGCGCGACTGGTCCTCCTCGCTGCACTGGGTCTTGGTGGAGATGCAGACCAGGTAGAGGAAGGTGAAGATGTTGCACTCGTAGTTGTCCACGGCGGTGTGGATGTCGGAGTCCTGCGTGGTTTTGATGCGGGACATGCCCTGCTCTATCTCCAGGACGCTGCACCGCAGGACGCTCTCGATGTCCTTGGCCTTGACGGGCTCGTTCAAGTGGATCATCTGGGAAAAGACCTGAGCGAACCTCAGGAGGTCCTTATGGGTGTTCCTGTTGCCCTTCTGCCTTAGGTGCAAGGCGTGGAGCCACAGCTTGATGCACTGCTCAAACTCCATGTTATCCGCGTAAACCGCCCCCCGGTAAATGATGGGGTGAGAAACATCGATATTGTCCGAGCCCAGAATTCTCTCGCGCACAATGAGGCCTTCCATGTGCAGGGCATCTCTGTCCTGCCTAATGGACTCTAATTCCTGAGGGGTCCTGCATTCAGTCCTGTTCCCGTAGGCCTCGATCTGGGGAAGAACCTCTTTCTCGATGACGCTCTCGCTGTCCCGGTACCTCTCCAGCATGGCTAAATATAAATAGTGGTAAGTCTTCAGTATATCATAGTTCTCTCTGTCGTTGGCGAACGAGGCGCCCAGGAGCTCCAGCGCCTCGATCCTGCTCCTCCTGTCACAGTCGGCGTGGGCCAGCAGCAGCTCCACCACGTCGGCCTTGCAGCTCTCGGCGGCCACCTTGAGCGGGGTCATCCCGTGGCCGTTGACCATCATGGCCGCCTTCCACTTGACCAGCTCCCTGACGATCTCCAGGTGCCCGGCCTCGGCCGCGAAGTGCAGGGCGGTGGCGCCGCAGTGGGCCTTGGCGTTGGGGTCGGCGCGCTGCTCCAGCAGGTACCGCACCACGTCCGTGTGGCCCTTGTAGGCCGCGATCATCAGGCAGGTGTTGTCGTACTTGTTGGCGATGCTGATGTTGGCGTTGTTCTCCACCAGGTACTTGACGATGTCCAGCCTGCCGTCGAAGCAGGCGGCGCGCAGCGGGGTGGAGTTGGTCACCGTGGTGTGGTTCACGTTGGCGCCGTGGCTCACCAGCAGCTTCACCACCTCGAAGTGGCCGGCGCCCGCCGCGCACCACAGCGCCGTGGCCCCATCGATGACAAAGCTGCAGAGGTGAGGACAGGCGGTTAGAACGGTGCTCCTCCCAAAGCAGGGCAGCCCATCCCGCGGGTGGGCACACACCCAGCAGGTGACGGGCGTTTTACAGCCGTCCCACCTGGACCCGAAGGAACTCAAGGGCAAAGAATGGGATTGAGCTCCCAGACCTCCCCAGGGAAGGAGCGCTGGAAGGTGAAGCTTCAAAGCAGCCAAGGGATGTGGCCACATTTCCACCAGGACTTCCCAGGCTGCTCTGAAGGTGCCACCTACAAGCTCCAGCCCTCGGCCTGTGGAGATCTGGGAAGAAGAGTTACAAGAACTGGGAAGGAGAGTTACAAGAATTATCACTTTGATGCCTTGAGCCACAAACCAAGACATTAAAGAACAAGAGAAAACTTAACATGGATATATTGACATAAAAAACCCACACACAGACATGACCAATGGTACTGACACACAAACACCGGCCCTGGCAGCAAAGCTGGCTTCAAAATGTCTTATCACTTCCCTCTTCTCTCTCCCTGAGCTGCAAAACTGCCACTGTTTCCACTGCTCCTCCTTATTCCAGAGCCTGTGCCTTAAACCAGCCCAGCAGTTACACAAATGGAACTCCAGGAAGAGAACAAAACTTAAAAAGCAGAAGTTCAGGAGAGCTGCGTCACATGGTGGCCTTGCTGGCCCCGGGAAATGAGGGGACAGGTCACTGTCTTCACTCCCCAGCACAGTGTAACTCCAAACATAAAGGGTGATGTCCTGCCCATTCCCCAGGTTTTGAAGTAGGGTTTAAATGTAGAAACAGGTAGCATTCACAGCACAGTTAATAAATGCTCAAGGCATTGTCCCAAATCACTGAGGAGGGACAAATAGTTCCATATGCCCAGTCACGTTACTCAGAGTTAAAATTTTGTAAGACACTGGGTTAATTTTCACTTTAACAGTGATTTTTATCATTTAGTGAAGCTCTGAGAGCTCCCCAGGAATAGCTGTGGCTGTTTGTAAACCAGCACCTCCAGACAACACCGCAGAGGCTGTGCAGGAGCTCTCTGGCCTGCAGAGGGAACTCACAGTGCGAAATTCCTTATTTAGTAAATAATCTCATTAAAATACTTCTACATTAACCCAGGAGGAAAGCAGGGGGTAGGATTTGTTAATGAACACGAGGTAATTTGCTGGTGCACTGTGGCTCCAAGTGAAAAGCTGGAGCCCAAACAAGGGGAGCTGCTGTGCCACCTTATCTGAGGCCCGACATTCCCGCGGGATCACATGGCCCTCCTCCTCTGCCACTGCACCCATTGTGCCTCAGACAACACCTCCTTTAATCTGCGCCAGGCAGAGGCTCTGGCACCGCATCACCACCCCAGGGAGGCACAAATTCAGCAGCACAGCATCTGCTGCCTGTCAACAGGGGCCCTCCCTTCCTTCAGCGGGATCTGGGGCAAACCTCAGCCCAGGAATTCTCCTGCTTGGAAAAAACAAGGGCTGGAATCAGGGAAAAGGAAGAGAAAAAAAACACACCAAACCAGCCAGGGAATTGTGTTCCTCCTGCTTCATTCCCTGTGTAAGGACTGAGCCAGGCTCTCCTGGGCCAGGTGGAGCAGCTCAGGTGTAACTCAAGCTGGAGCAGATGGAAGAGCCCAGCAGGGACTCCTCGCTCGGTGTCTGCCCTGAGCTCCCCTCCCTGTGCCAGCCACCTGCAGCTCCTGAAGCTCTTCCAGACACCCTCTCCATTACTCAGCCTCACATCTGACGCTGACAGGAAGGCGAGAGCTTGATGAGCGCTCCGGGAGGTATTAAAAACAACGCTCCTCCTCCCTCCTGCCACGGCACCACAGCACCTGGACATCCCCACCTCTGTCCTGGTGGGTCCCAACTGAGGGCCTGGCGCCCTCATCCCTCCCTTCCCATCCTAAAATGTCACATTTTCCTCCTGGCCATCCCATCTGATGGCTACCAGCAGTGAGGAAGGGATGTTGCTTGGGATGTCTGGGCTGGACACTGAAAACCCTCGATCTGGGTAAACAAAGGGGTGGGTCCCGGTGTGCAGGTACCACCCAACCCTGATCCAGCTCCAGGTTAATCCTGATCCAGCCCCAGGTGTCCAAGCACCACCCTGCCCCAACCCAATGCCCGCTGTCACCTGCAGCACCAAACAATGTCACAGAAAGGCCATTTTGGCACAGCGAGAGAGAACACAGGGCAACCTCCTCAGCAAAGGGAAGCTCTCTGGGCTGTGGGAAACATCCAGAATTCCAAAAGAGCAAAAGTATTTCTGGCTCACAAAGCATCAGGTGGGATCTCCAACCACACAAGCATTTTTACCACAGAATCCCAGAACAGCTGGGACCTCTGCAGATCATCCATCCCAACCCACTGCCAAGGCAGGATCACCCAGAGCAGGTGACCCGGGAACAGGTGGGTTTGGGATGTCTCCAGAGAGGGAGGCTGTACCCAGCGCACAGGATGGGCTCCTGGCACCCCAGTGTGGGCAGGGGCACCTCCCAATGATCCACCCACGACCCCCACCCGTGGCCCGCCTGCTGGGCCCCCCGTGCCCATTCCCGGTGTGTTCCCGGTGTGTGCCCCGTGTCTGCCCAGTGCCTGTGCCCCTTCCCAGCGTGCTTCCAGTGTGTTCCTGCTGTGTTCCCCGTATGTCCTCAGTGCGTTCTCGGTGTGTTCCTGTGTGTTCCCGGTGTATTCCTGCTGTGTGCCTGGTGGTTCCCAGTGCATTCCCAGTGCATTCCCGGTGCATTCCCGGTGCGTTCCCGTGGCCGGTACGTACCCGTCGAAGCGGACGGTGCCGGTCTGCTGTGTCTGCACGCGGTAGTGCTCGAGCAGCAGCCGCACCACCTTGGCGTGGCCGTTCCTGGCGGCGATGATGAGCGGCGTGGAGCGCTGCCCGCCGTGCTGGCTCACGTAGCCCAGCAGGTACTTGATGTCGCTCTCGGAGCGGTTGAGCAGCAGCGCGGCCAAGGTGAGCACCCTGCCCTCGCTGGCCGCCTTGTACACGTAGCCCGCCAGCCCCTCCATGGCCGCCTGGGCCCCCGCGCGGCCCCGCCGCCCGCCCCGGGGCTCCCCCCCGGCCCGCTCCGTCCTGCGCCGCCCCAAGGGCCGCACATGCGGCCGCCCCGGGGCCCCCCGCGCCCCGCGCCGCGCCAGCCCCGGCGGGACGCGAACCCCGGGAGCGCCGGGATTGCCGCGAACCCCGGGACTGCCGGGACTGCCGGGCCCGCTCCGCGCTCGGGGCCCGCTCCCCGCTCGGGCCCCGCGGCCGCCCCGCCCGCCCCGCAGCGCGGCGGAAACGGGAAGCGGCGGCGGCGCCGCGCCCGGCCCCGACCGGCAACCGCGGCTCGGACCGCGCGTTCCGGGCCGCGGAGGGACAGCCACGGGATTGAAAACCACGGAAATACAGAGACAGTCACAGAACGACCGAGTTACAGAGTCACGGAATTAAAGAGTCACGGAATCACGGAATCATCCGGCTTGTTAAAGCCCCCTCCCCCCCCCCGACCATCCAGTCCAGCCGCTGCCCCAGCCCTGCCAAGGCCACCACCAACCCACGTCCCCAAGCGCCACAGCGATGGATAAAACAGAATCACACACAGCTATTAATCCGCACGTGTTGCCACCCCGACTTTTAATCCACACTGCCACTGTAGAATCGTTTTTGCTTCGAAAAGACCTCCAAGTCCACCCTGTGCCCGATGCCCACCTTGTCCCCCAGCCCAGAGTGCCACAGCCAGGCCTGCCTTGGACACCTCCAGGGCTGGGCACTCCAAACCTCCCTGCGCAGCCCCTGCCAAGGCCTCACCACCCTTTCCAGCAACAAATTCCTGCTGATGTCCAACCTGAGCCTCTCCTGGCACAGCTGGAGGCCGTTCCCTCTGGTCCTGTCCCTGTTCCCAGGGAGCAGAGCCTGACCCCCCTGCTCCCCTCTCCTGTCAGGGAGTTGTGAGTGCCAAAATGTCCCCCCTGAGCCTCCTTTTCTCCAGGCTGAGCTCTGTTCCCTTCCCAGAACCTGCAATGCTGTCCACCCACCCCTGGGGCTGCCCATCCCTGCCCTCCACGCACAGACTGGCCCCAGGCTGGCCCTCCTGGCCCTGGTTTGCTTGGGCTGGGTTCAGATGAGCTGGGCTGGTGCTGGTTCAGCTGGGCTGGGTAGGGTTGGGCTGGGTTCAATTGGGATGAGTTGGTTGCACTGGGTTGGGTTGGATCTGGTTCAGTTGGATGCAGTTGGTTGGACTGGGCTGGGTTGGTTGGACTGGGTGGGTTAGACTGGGCTGAGCTCAGTTGGGCCGGGTTGGGCTGGCTGGGCCGGGTTCAGTTAGGATGGGTTGGTTGGACTGGGTTCAGTTAGGATTTGTTGGTTGGACTGGGTTCAGTTGGGATGGGTTGGTTGGACTGGGTTCAGTTGGGCTGGACTGGTTCAGCTGAGGTGGGCAGGTTGGGTTGGGACTGCTTTCCTCTGGTTCACTTCACTGTTTGTTTTCAGGACAGGACCAGCAGCTCCCCTCGCCTCGGCCCCACCGAGCCTTGGCACACACAGGACCTTCTTGGCTTTGGGGATGCCATCCCCGACCCCAGTGTGCCATATCAGCTTAACCAGGGCCTCTCATGGCCTCTGCCAGCTCCTCTCCCCACACCCCTGAGAGCTGCCCAGGCCAGGAGCAGCCACTCGAGACGGGCAGTGAGCTGATCCCACCCCGAGCACCGTCTGCCAGGCCTTTGTGCTCAGGGGGATCCGCTCTCAGCCCTATTAATAGTTAATTCAAAGCCTTGCAACCCGAGCTGGTGCTCCCTGTGGGCTGTGCATTATGGATGGCAGCAGGGGGGGCTGGCAGAGCCTCTGGAGAGCCAAGGGGACACAGCCAGGGCTGTCCAGTCAAGGAGGGTCAGCTCCTCAGAGCCACGAACACGTGCCAGGCACAGTGGGACAAGAAGGGTTCAGGGTAAGATTAAGTGGAATTCATCTCCGTTACCTCAGTGAGCTCCTCCACTTCTCACGGATATTTCTCTCCAGGTGCCACTCTGGGTGAACAGGAATGATGTGGACAGGAGCCCTTGAGGAAGCACCTCCCTCCTGGCATCACCTCTGAGCAGAGAGTCCCAGATCTCTGTTCTGCAGCTCTTGGGAGCCTCAGCAGCTCCGCTGGGTCCAGCTCCCTGCGCTCCTCACGACTCCTGTGTGAAAGGAATTCTCCCCAGTGACTGCCCCTGTCACCACCCAGCTGAGCACATCCAGAGGCAGGACATGCCAAAGGGCTCCAGTGCATCAAACCTTCTTCCCTGGGAGGGTGGGCAGGCCCTGGCACAGGTTGCCCAGAGAAGCTGTGGCTGCCCCTGGATCCCTGGAAGTGTCCAAGGCCAGGTTGGAGCAACCTGGGATAGTGGAATGGGGTGGAACTGGATGAGCTTCAAGGTCCCTTCCAACCCAAACCGTTCTGGAATTCTACAAACCCACTTTGCCCATTAAATACCTGCTCTCCTTAAGTTGTACCTGAACTCTGCTTATTTCAGGTGTGGATGCACCCCCCGATTTAGACCCTAAAGTCCAAATCCCAGGGAGTGCAAACTTAGTCCCAAAGGGAGCAAATCCTTCCCTGCCTCACACTCCCAGAGCCCCATAGTCATCCCAGCCTGGTGGCATTTATCCAGCCAAAACTGGGGAGAGGGACAGAGTGTGGAATCCACGTCCCATGGCCTACCAGGCTAATCCTGCCCGTTTGCTTTATCCCCTGAGGGACACAGGGAAGTGGGGACACAGGCAGGGATTTGCCCGTGGCCACCAGCCGAGCTCCATCCCCTCACTTCCACCATCCCTCGGGCTGGGAGGGATGCGCTGGTGGCACGGCATGAGCTGCTATTTCCTGCCAGCCTTTTCCCACCTCGGAGCCCGCTCTGGGGGCCGGGCCGTGTCTGCCCATCAGCGCCACAAGCCCGGCACCCACCCATCAGATAAGGGGTCACACATCGCCCCGCTCCTTTCGCCGCGTCCCAAACCATCGCACATCACCCCCGGTGCTCCGGGGAGGGCGGGCAGAGCCGCGGAGCACCTAATAACCCATCAAGTCAGGGGTCACACATCGCCCCGCTCCTTTCATCGCACATCACCCCCGGTGCTCCGGGGAGGGCGGGCAGAGCCGCGGAGCGCAGCGGAGCCCCCGCCCCGTCGGGGCGGTACCGGGGCCGCCCCCGCGCAGCCGCCGCTCGGCCCGGCCGGGCTGGGAGCGGGACGGGCTCGGGCAGCGGGGCTGGCACCGGCACCCCCCGGGCCGGGCTCATGCAGGGCTCGGCGCGGCGCCGGCCGTTCCCGGCCGCGGCCCCGGGCTCCCCCCCGCCCGCCGGGACGCTCTTCCCGGGCAGGTGAGACTGGGGACGGGCTTGGGAACGGGAAACCCTCTCTCTCATCACTGGGGTCCTCCCTGCCATGCGATCACCCCGGGTTATCCATCCCCGAGCCCCCCAGGACGCCCCAGCGCCATCCAGCCCCATCCCGGATCCCACCGCCCCGGCCGGGATGCTGCGGGGGTCCAGGGCATCCCGGAGGGTCGGGATCCCCCAGCCTCGGGTACGATTCCCCTCTTCAGCCTTGCCCAGGGCATCCTGGCTTACCTGGGAAGCCTTTTCCAGGGAGCCGCAGCATTCCCAGCTCCTCCAGGGCACAGCGGCTCATCCCGGGTACCACCATCCTCATCCTCCATCCACCGGCTTTCATGGAATCATCACGGAGTGGTTTGGGCTGGAAGGGACCTTAAAGATCATCTTGTCCCACCCCTGTGCCATGGACAGGGACACCTTCCCCACTCTGGACCGTGGGCTCAGGTGGCACATGCTCGAGGCTGATCCGGTCTCGGCACTAGGAGAGCGATTCCTCCCCTTTTCCCGTGGGGAGGTGACGGTCCAGAGGTTCTGGAGGGTCATTTCGTGGAAGGGCTTCAGCGGGGTTGGATGAGGCCTCGCTCTGCAGAGGCAGAGGAGGATCTTCAGAGCGGGAGATGAAGGTGATAGTGCATCCACAGCAGCCCGGTGCTGGAATACCACCAGGAATTGCTGCATTAGGTGCCGTGGGAGTTGGGATTTTGCTTTGTCATGTAAAAGTTAAAAATAGTTGCACTTAATACAGCACTTTTCACCTTGATTTTGTGCTGCTTCTCGGCCAGGAAGAGTCTTTCCACAGGGACGGGCCGGTTACAGTAACAGCTTTTTCCTTCCCATCCTGCCTCCTCCTGCTCAACTTTGTTACTCCAGAGATCCCAAAGCCTGGTGATGCTCCAGCAGCCCAGGGAAGCGCAGGGTTGGTGTGGGGATGGAGTGCTCAAAGCCCTGTTCCAGGGGCTCAGACTGACCCTGCTCCTCTGTCCCTCCAGGCATGGGGCGGTGAAGGGCGAGGACACCTTCAAGACATCCCCGTTCCACCTGGACCTGTGGTTCTACTTCACTCTGCAGAACTGGGTGCTGGACTTTGGGCGCCCCATCGCCATGGTGAGCCGGGGGGGCACAGGCCTCCACTTACCTGGGGGGCAGGATAGTCCCCCTGGGCTGTGTCCTGTTCCCCAGAGCATCCCGGGGATGTCCTGGTGTAAGTGGGATCAAGGGTCCTGGGGAAGGTCTCCTGGGAAACTTGCTCTGTGTCATCTCACCCACAGCTTCGTGTTTTCACAACAGAAGGGACCTGGGGAGGCTGTTCCACGTTACCCATCCCACAACTTCATGTTTCCACAACAAAAGGGACTGGGGAGGTTCCTGCTGCTCTTCCCATATCCCTGTATCTCCAGAGCCTGGAGCTCCTGCTCTCCAGCTGGAGCAGGACACAAGTGGCCGTTCCCCTCAAATGGAATATTTTAGAGCTGGCACCTGGACGTGGCAGAGGGTTAAGGGAGATCCACTGCTGCAGCATTCCCAAATTCCTTCCTTGGCCCCACAGGCGCCGATAGTGAACCCTGAGCTGTGCACTGAGCACCCTCTTCCAGCTGGGCTTTTTGGGATGTTCACTGCAAGAAGAGCTGCCCAGCCTGGTTACTGACAGCTCCCTGAAGTCAAATGACCATTAGAAACCAGCA